CAAGGATCAAAACTACAACACCTCAATTGAAGAAACTCCACGAAATTGAACAGAAAAAAAGGAATCTTGACTTCTAAACCTTAACTTCTTCTTCTCCAACGGTGGTTTGTAGAAAGAGAATTATTTGGAAAGGGTAGTTTTATATTGAGTTTTAGGGAAATAATAAATTGAAAAAAGGGTGTTGAATACTTTAAAAAGCCTTAACTAGCACTAAATAATCAATATAAATCGTACCCTACCTTAACTAACCTTAAAAGGAATTTACCACGTTGCCCCAAGCGTTGGTCGAAACTAGGCAAATTACAGGTGCAATCCACCCACCAACCCACAGACCATGAGTGGGGTGATGCCCCATACTGGATGTCTATGGTTTGGTCCTGCAACCTACCACTTCTCCCTTGACCTATGGAATGGTTCCATGGGATGTGGATGGACCTACGCCCAGTAGGTCCCATCCGTAGGTCATGAAATTATTGACAACTTTTGCTCTTTGGGGCAACCTTGGGTTAGGCTTTAGAGTCCTCCTTAAGGACCCTTGGTGGGTCCTTGGGGGTCGTACCTTGATGTTTAGCCCTTAACACCTCAACCTAAACTCGGGAAACTCATTTTACAACATGAAATCCCATATAAAACTCAACAACACACTCGTTAGGCTCTATTTTCACCTACTAATTTTCCAAGTAGTAACAGATAATCTTGGGAAAGGGTTTTACGTTAAATTAATTATGGAATGAACCCTTGTTAGGTAGAATTATCACGGAAATGGCATGGGGTTCGGAGTTGGTTACAATTCAAATATTGTTAGGCCATATTTGAATGATTATTATATTTTTATTATGGTTTAGATCAAGAACAAGTTGGAATTCATGAGACGGGGAAAGCTCCTTTTTTTAGAGTTTCCCGGGCTTAATTCGAGGTTAATGATGATTATTGTTTTACCATATATGTAATATGTGTTTGTTAACTGTGTAATGCATTCTTGATATATGATATTAGGAAAGTTGGAATGACATAATGTGAATGTAAGATGTTGTCAACCGTTTGTAATGAATGTGCTACATAAATGTACATGTTTAACTGTGTTCATTGAGTTTGAGATTGTTTTATGTGTTGATGATTGGGATCGGCTACCACATTGGTAGACTAACAGTTGAAACGGGTACCACATAATACACTAACATCTAGAAGGGGTACCATGTCAATATACTAACATCTTGAATGGGTACTACGCCAGTACAATGGGAACGAGTACCACGTCGATACACTAACTTGAAAACGGCTACCACACCAGTATAATAAGTTGGGATCAGGTATCACACTGGTGCATTAACAATTTATATCAGTGAAATCCATGAGAAAACTGGACCAACTTGTTGTGTTGTAATGATGCATGTTGTAATGGATATCACTTCTAGATTATGGTGTACGTATGTGTTGTAATTGTGCATTATGTGCTTACTGAATTGTGGTTGTATGTCCATATTTCGTACCCCGAAACTAGCTGATGGTCCTAACAGTACATTGTTGTTGTGTATTCATATTGAACTTTCTCTTTCTTTGTTGAGTACATGACACCTTTAGGTGGCTGCTTTGTGACCTCAACTGTGAGATCTCTATTATCTGAATCCAAGGGTGATCCACTTTCTTCGGGCTGCTATGCATTCATTTTTTCCTTCTTAATCCATTATTCGGACTCAGACATTCTAGACTTACGTTTTTCTTCTTTATTTCAGGGGTTGCATCCCCCGTGATTGCTAGATGTTTTGGTATTATGAGTTTAAGGTTTTATGGAGTTTACTCTGCAAATATTATTGTTGAGTTTATGGACACTCAACATTTTAGTTATTTTTAAACTGTTTTTCTAGTGTTTTATGTCTAGGACTTGATTTTTAAATGGTTTGATGGGTAAGAGTTTGGATTTGTAGTTGGTTCTCCCATGGAAGAATTAGTGTGGGTGCCAAACATGATGAGTCATAGTCGTGACAATGTTGCTTTTTTTAAAATTGAAATTCTCTTATGTCATGAAAGTTCAAGAAACAGTTGAATCTTTCAAGAGAAACAACAGAAGCATAATACTGACCTATGGCTAACACATGCTTAGAGCTCACAAGGTTACACTACATTTTACAATATTTATAAGTCCCACAAGCAACTCCTATACAAATTAAACTATGACAATTAAACCACTTTGCATATTGCAGCAAATCTTGTCTTCCATGAACATAAATAACATATTTAGATATATTTTCATAGTTCATGAAAAGTTGCAAGTTAGAATGAATAGTCAATCATACGTAGGTTACACACATTCAATTGACAGATTTACTTGCAGAGGCATTGGGAAAGATCAGTTTGTGACACACTATGCAACAAGTTGGGACTTCATGATATTCAGTCTCCAACTTGAAGGAGAGTGTTAAGAAATATCATGTTACCATATATTCACTTTCTTATTTAGTGTAAATATAATCCCAAACCGTAGGCTTCGGTCTGGTAATATAGCTGAGGGGCCAAGATGATGGTGAAATGGTATCAGAGCAGTCAGGTTTATCCTACTGTGATGGCTCAGCTATACATGTGAACCGTCCTATGGCTCCCTGAGGGTTAAAGCCAAGGTGTTGCATCCATGTATACGTTTCCCTCGAAGTAAAAGTACCGTAGGCTTCGGTCTGGTAATATAGCCGAGGGGCCAAGATGATGGCGAAATGACATGTTTATATGTTTGTTGGTTTTCTATAAATGTAAAAAAGAACTTAAAACTAAAGTTGATCTTTCTGCACTCAAGTTGGTTTCCTATTTCTTGAGTTTCAGATGGGAAAGGAAAAAGAAAAGTAAGTACAAGGTCATAATATTACGGAAATTTGGTCAAGAGCTTCAACGGAATTTCCAACAAAACTCAAAAATAGATGAGAGACACAGCCCCTTAACTTTTAATCGAACACCAAATGTCAGTATAAGAGAGATGAATAACAAAAGAGCAAGCTTGCAAACTTGGAAAACAGAAAAGAGTATACCATTATTTTAGCTAGACTATGTTACAGATAATAGCATTTGCGCAAACATATCAGCTGACATCCCAAGGACCCATACTAAAACTGAATATGCTGATGCAGTGGAAAGTGGAAACAAGAATATTGTTCAGATACAGCTATCCCACTGGTGAAACTTAAAACATATATACCCTTGCATTATGCTGCAAATTAAAGAACAGTACTCACCTGTAGTGACAAGAGAGTTCGTCAAAGGAAGACCATCAATAGTAAAGGTTGAAAGGTCATATAACAAAAAAAAAAAAACAATTACACATGTCTCAGTTATGAAAAGGAAACAGGATGTAGAAACAAGATCCTATAAATCGTCACAGAATATGGAGGAACAAAGAATAACCAAAAAACAATCAACAATTATTAGGTTGAAAGTATAGGACTTTCATCCCCGACTAGTAAGGAAACATAAGAAAGCCAAATCAGTCAGGTTCTAAAGAATTTTTCTTTAACTATGAACAATATTCAGAATAAAAATAGAGTGCACGTTTTTTCCACCATTACTGACTTCATACAACTGTTTGACATCATGCAGTTTGACAAACATCTTAAACAAAGAAGACAATCAGGCAGGCACAAGCAAGCAAATTGCGATGAATAACGTTAACTTTGCTAAACCATTTTCCCCATAATATCCCTGTAAATGAAACCTATAAGGTTATAAAGGATCTTAAAGCTGACATTTCACATGTCAAGGATTTGGTCATCTGCTCCCGATCACCTACCTAGACCTTGAAAGGATCGAAAAGCTTCCCCCCCCCCCCCCCAAAACATTCTGGGGAGAGAAGGCAAACCTCCATCCACCAACAGACCCTCCAAACCAAAGGTAGACATTGACAAAACCAAAACAAAAAAAGAAAGAAGAAAAAAAAAACTATGCAGGCTGTGCATGATCTGAAATAGGTACAGCTGAAATGTGTTAGATACAAGAATTCACCTGGTGACTTACATGATTTCTAGCACTACAATATACATCAACTTAATAGAGTTCCACAAGGAACTGTAATATGAGGTGAAAGGTCCTTCGCAGCAACATATGCTCCTGCACAAAGTAATTAGCTAGCACATACAGCCTAATGTTTCTGTGCTTAATGTTAATCATTCGAGATTAAGTTGTAGTTCGTCCGGCAGAGAATCAACTATGAAATACTGCTCTTTGGAAGTACGATCAGCTTAAGAGATACTGTTAAAGATGAAAAAAGGGCTTTGGCAGCAACATGTGCTGTGCACAAATTTGAGAGCACACATGACTGAAGGTTTGTTAAACTCAAACCTTGATATATAGTTCTCATTTGTCCAACATTTAATCAGCTTCTCTTTGGAAATGACCATTAGTTTGGAAAATTATAAATAAGTTACCTTGCCAAGTCAAAAAGTTATTTAATGAAACTTTGAAAAGATCATCATCCTAATAGGAATGCAAAGAGTACCAACTTTTACTTTTACATGTATGTAGCCAAAGTTTTAGTGGATTAAGGAATTTGAGGTAGCATCTTTATGAAAGTGAACTTCATACAAGATGAAGCCCACCCATAAGTGTAAATGGAAAATTCTAAACATATTAAGGTCTCAAAGCTTAATGCATTCAGCAAGAAACAATAGTATCATTCACAAGCTTGTTCGATTCAGAATCACTGTCCATTATATTGTGATATCAGGGCTTTATTCTAATATACTAAGTGAGGACTTCACCAATATTGATAATGAACCATAAAGAATATTCCTTGATTAAGACGAGCAACAAAACGCTGCAGCATTGCTTAAATGTAGCCCTCCATGGCAGAGATGGACTTCTATAGCATAGGATTTGTAATCAACTTTAGAACTCCTTAATGCACTTAATGAACTTCCAACGTAGTTCTACTAAAAATCAAACTGACAATCTTTTACACAAATACCACTTTGCGAATTATTTCCAACTTTTATAACTTTTAACGATAAGAAGAAGATGAAGGATAGATGAGACAAAGCATCATATTTACAAATCAGCTAATTACCAACTAGATAACAGTATATTACATCCCTTAATAGATGTAAACTTTCCTCTTTAATAGATTCAATGTCATCAACTATATAGAGTAACTGAATTGATAACAGAAAGTGAAAAGAGATGGACTAACAAATTGAGGAATATAACTTAATTTTCTGCAGGGGTCAGAAATCTCAAACCAACAGACCCAACTTAACATAGTTAGGACCAACTTTTTACAATGGTACATGGTATACGAACGAAAGACGAATCAGCAAGATAGTTACTGTCAGTCAAAGAACATACCAGAGCCCTGATTCGAGCTACTGGGTTGGCTGACAATCCTGCGCAAGATCACAGTTCGCGCCATGCTAATATCTTGGCTACATTTTTTAGCATGGTCACTCAAAAGCTCAATGGTTTCTGAAAAGCCATTCACATTCTTCTTGACCTCTTCCATTGCACTCGTGACTGAATCAGCTCCGTTGATTGCAAAATTTGCACTATGCAACAACCCCTCAAAAATTATCTGCAATTTATCCACCAAAACCTGAATATTTACCAAGTCTTGAATCACAAGAAAAGTACCAGCCTCCATTGAATTCAATATGCCCCTATCCCTCTTCAACTCATCCTCATACTTGTTCCACATGGAATTTATCCATTTCCCCACTGTCCCCAAGGGCACTGAGGCTGCAGCTGCTAATGCTGTCACCATTGGTGGTGCTGTGACAGCTGCAGCAACAATTGAGCAAATTATAGCAGAAACAAACACAGTAGCAAAAATGATATTGGACACTCTCTTCCAAGTCTTGACTCTATTCAATTTCTTATCAAGTTTACTCATTTTTGACTTGAGTTTAGTCAACAAGGCATTTTGGTGCGTATAAACTGCCTGAAATGATGAGAAAAACTTAGCAGTAAAAGGGTCACCAGCAGCCTTAAAACTCTTGAATTGTTGTAAAGTTTCTGTAAAGAGAAGTTGTGAATCCCCTTGATTTCCATTGATCTCATTCTCAAACTTTGTAAGTGCTACTTGAATTATTGACTGACTATTTCGAGCACGTTCAAGAGAGTCATCAAGAGAAGAACAGAAGTTCATAATGTGAATACTACTGTCAAGATAATCCTTAACAAGATCAAAGATATCTGGGTCTTTCCATATATCTTTTTTGCTTTCAAGAATGAAATTGACAACACCTTGGTTCATATCTAGGAAGCATAAAGTAACATCACGTAAAGACTCAAGAGAAAGGGAATTATAGTCGGAGTTAACAGCTATAGAATTGAGAGCTAAAGATGTTCTTGCTTTAAGAGCAGAATCAAACCGTCCAAGTTCTGGATCTTCTTCACAAGCTGATTCATATGAGCTTAGATCTGGTGAAACCCCATCACTTTCTGGTTTCGCCGCTCGGCTCTGCTTCTTGGGTTTAGTGCACTCATTACCCATTTCTTCTTGTTCAAATGGGAATTTTGACCATTAACGGTGGCTTTTAAGAGCAGAATCAAGCCCCTTCTACCTGCTAGGAAGGAGATGATGACAAAGACATAATCAAGTCAAGTTGAGGGCTTAAAAAAAAAGGATTGTTTTATATAATTGGAATTATCAAACTTCATAGAATCTTCTTTTCTTTATTTTTGACTGAAAAAATGAACAAGATATATATTAACAAATTTTGATTGGGCATATTGATACAAAAACTATTTATTTTTAACTTGAGTTTATATTGAAATTTAATTTTAAAATTTTATTGAAATTTGAATTTAGTCAATCGATTTTAAACACCGAGTAGGAAAAAATAAAATTTAATGTGTCAATGTAGAATAATTGTATAATTTGATATGTTATACATTGTGCATTGGGGTCAATCACATTAAAATATCTTTGGAATTTAGAAGTTTCAATCAAGAAATAATAAGGTGGGCTGGTCTAATTTAAGAAATCTTAATTCTTTCTTAGGAGCTAATAGGTCGTACCATCTGTATTGAGATTTATGCCATTAAGTTATTACAGGATTGTTAAATTCCAAAAGAAAATAGGATGGTTGTTCAAATTTAAAATATACTTAGGATATATTCAGAAAAACACTTTTGTAAATAAAATTTGTGCACTATTTTAAATGTACAATTATAATCATAAAATTATATTAAATTTTTAAAAATAAAAATTAATTATTTAAAATTTTTATATTAGTTGAATAAGAAATTAACAAATAATATTAAATTAAATATTTAAGATATGCATTGTCTTTTGAAAATATATTCTTTAATAAACATACGTTCTTCATTAATACTATTATGAAAAATAATTTATTTATATTTTTCACATTAGTGTATTTCAATTGAATTAATCATAAAAATAAAAGTACAAAATTTCTATAGCATAATGAAATGCATTTTTTATTTTAAAAAAAAGATTAATATTATAAAAAAATATGTCAAAAAAATTAAAATATTTGACAAAAAATTTTGTCAAGTCTAAAAAGTAAATGACTTGCAAGTGTATAACCTTAGTCAACAATGAATTTTACTTTAATTTAAAAATAAAATACTAACAAAGCTATGCAGATGAAAAAAAATAAACATGGCATAAAAATAAATACTATGAAAAATAATACATGAAATCAAATGAATTAGAGGTTGAAAATGAAAAAAAATGAAATATAAATAATATCAAAATAAAAATTATCTTTAGCAAATTTTAGAATAATAAAAACAAAAAAGAATTTAAAGTAAAATGAATAAATAAATGAAAATTTTAAATTTTAAAATAGAAACATAAAGGAAAGTTAAAAAGTAATTAGTTTGTAATTATGCCATTTAATCCAAACATTTGACCACACATTCCTAAAAATTGAAGAGTGTAACTACCCTTATATTGACCATATAATTAAGTTGTCAACCAAATATATCAGATAATGTAATTACGCCTAGTTATACCAAAACATAATTATAAGGTTCATTTTCCAAATAGTCCCTTAGTTCTTTCTTGGTAATATAGGTGTTTTGAGTACAATTATTGATGATGTAACAAAAAGAATTAAGCACTCATTAATTCATCATATAAATATGTCGTACTTGGGTCTTTGTATGTCAATAGAGATTGTATATCATCCTACAAGTCACTATTTACATTTTGTGCCCATTTTTTCGGACTTTTATTACTTCAATTATATTTTTATAAGAGTTGACACACACTTTAGAGTGTTCATATGTAACAAAAATAAACTAGAAAACAACACAGGCGCAAAGTATCCATCAAGGTCACATATTTATGTACCAATTCATTATAGAAAACAACACAGGCGCAAAGTATCCATCAAGGTCTCATATTTATGTGTCAATTCATTATAGAAAACAACACAGGCCCAAAGTATTCATCAAGGTCTCATATTATATACCAACTCAATTTTCACTCAAGTTGTATATATATTAATTTTTTTAAAAAATACACACTCCAAATTAAAAGTAAATATCCGAAATCGCTCCATCCCAAAGTAATTTCAGTGAGTACTCTTTATTTTATTTTTTTGGTTTAAATTTAGTGGTCTGGGGACCTTTTTATTCAGCTAATGGTCAAAGACCAATGTCCAACAAATCAAAATATACAAAAAGGGTCCAAATATCACGATTGGAGAGCACCCCCTAGACGTAACCGGCGTCATTGTTCTTTAAGAGGATTTAGACTAGCCCTTAGCTTTCGCCATTACATGTCATTGGCCAAAATTACGAAAAATTTAAAACTTTAAATAGTGAGGTATACATAGAACTCTCACATACTACATAGGGAGTTTATATAGACTCATCGCATAGTGAAGCTTACATATGCTTCTCACTTAGGCAACATACACAATATATAAGAATTAATCTAATAACATCGTCTCACATTAAACCATTTTAACGGAGTACAATATTGGACATAGCAATTATAAATTCGATTTGTCATTATACGCCTACATCAATAGTCTCAAAACGATAAAGGAATGAAATAGTGTCTTAGACATAACAACAACATAGCTAGAATAGTGAAATGGTAACATCCCCGAACATGAGGACCTACAAATAACTTTGAGGAAAGTCTAAGTCTTCTTGCAAAGTGGTCTTCTAAACTTCAACAGTCGGAACCTATATATTTGTAGAAAACATAAGAAATATGGGTTAGTACACCACTTATACTAAGTATGGAAACAATGCACATAAAACATTTTAAAGCATGCATGAAAGGGACCAATTCTTTAGAAAACATACTAAGTAATTTAGAAAGTCTTTCATGCACATACAAGGAAGCATATACAATATAAGGATCACAATAACATAATACATTTTCATGACCAAGGACAACATCAACATAAATCCATATCAACATTTCATATTAAATAGCTCACAAAATCCTAGCTTACCAACAATCCCATCTCAAGCCTACTAGTGCAATGATTATAAGTAACCCCACACAATCATGTAAATAAGATAAAACATGATAAGTAACGCTTTACATCATACCACATATCATCATAGGTAGTCATCACCACATATAGCAATTTAGGCCTATATCATATATATTCAATATAACCAACATCATGTAAGAGTATCATCATATAAAGTTAACATTTCATATTTCATGATATCATATTACATAAGAACATCCCCTAGGACTCCTTTTAGAGCTAACTTGTGTGCAATGTATAGGTAAAGTTTCATACTCCTACTTATATTAAATAGATCCCTTAAGTCATCCTAATCATTGTTCATATTTATTATATTTAGTCATTCATTTTACTTTCGGGAGCAATTGTCTTAACCGGCATAGAGCACATGAGCTAAATCTGAAATACAGTGTCATGAAACCGTACACCAAAAGAAGGTGGTCTACTTGCAAAGGTAGAACCAAAAGCATGATAATAGCATTTTAGGTAGATCCACTAGCTAGTATTCCTATGATGGCAACGTAGTTCAGGAACTAGGAGACATATTAGAAACCCTCTTTATGATATAAGTATTATAATCTCTATCTCATGAGAACATAGTGAACCTACCTTCCCACTTGGGAAGGGACAAATCTCACAACTTGTTCACTCGGTGCTAAGATAAAATCTCTTTTTGAAATATCTCTAAGCCTTTCTTAATCATCATAACTTAGTGTAGATCATACGAGATTAACCCTTTGTATATTCATAGTCATTATCTCATTAGGTATTGCATGAGAATGTGCTTTCATAACAACTCTTCATTGGTGAGATTAACATGGAACAATCATATCATAGTAAGACACATAAGTGATTCACAATCAAACTTACTTCTCATGTCAACACATTTGATATGCTCAAACTTACTTCTCAAATAAGAAGTAAAGCGGCCGTGTCAAGTAAATAACCCAACTAGTGAGGTTGGGATCGTTCCCACGAGGAAAATAGTTTAGACTTAAATTCAACCTATTATTACTATCATTTGGTCAATAACTTCCTTGGAAAGTAAAAATATAAAAGGGGGGGGTTCTATCTCTAAATAAGTGAAAATAAACAACGAACTTGAAAGAGACACTTAACAGCTTTTAATGTTGGGTTTTAATCAATTAATCAAAGTAACAAGGGTTTATGTGTTCCCCACAGGTTCATAACTTGATAACTCTAACTATAACAATTCTTTCCTAGTATCTTGCATGCAAAGTGATAAGTTATGTATTTCTAAATCCTTGGTCCGGCATCTAAAAAATCTCACTCCGCACCTTGGTCCGGCTACGTGTGTTGCTATCCTAACCCTTATCCTTACCTCATATTAAGCATCGTATTCGATATTTGACTAAGTTATTACCTCGTACCAATCAATACTAGCCTATTAGATAGTATACACTATATCTATGTTAATAGTTCTTTTCCTATTGTCTACCTCCTTGGTCCGGCAAGTAGCATTAAGGCGAGTTCTAACGTTGGCCATTCGTTAAAAAGACTTCTAAATGAAAGAATTATTAATACATGCAAGACACTATTCTAGAATTATTCGTTTAATTAGGGTTTATCTCATTATTTGCCTATGGTTCCCACAACCCTAGTTATGGAGTTTAGTTACTCATAGCCATAAACACAATATTCAAATATATTAAATAAGAATTCATGTACTTACTTCAATGAGAAAGAATAAAGTCCGAAAGTTTGCTTGATTAATCACCAAAAATCACTTGTAAGAATCTCAAAATCTAACACTAATCAACAATCACAAGTTTCAATAATCCAACAATCCAAAAGTCTAATAATATGGAGCCTAACAATACGGAGTCTAACCTCAAAAATGAGGTTTTTCGAACTATTTAAAAAAAATAAAAACCTAATTAAATAAGGATTCTAATTGCTGGAAATCTGCCAAAACGCGGCTGGATCGACGGACCTAGCGACAGACCGTCGTGGTCACGACGGACCATGATGGACTCCGTCGTCCCATACTTAGCAATTTCTTCTGCTGCTCTTTTCATTCCCCTCGACGGCAAGTATGACGGACCGTCATAGGCACAACGATCCGTCGAGGGTCTTCATTTCAAAATACTTCAACTCTTGGAATCTGGGTACTGGGATCACTTATTTGAACTTCATGACGAACCTGCAGGACAGACCGTCATAGCCAC